CAATTAATTGAACGCATTAAACACAAACAACATAAATAAATTAACAGAAAAATCCAAAAGAGCTAAATATGTAGGAATCAAACATGTCTCAAGTTGATTACATCAAACCCTAGATCTAAATGTTTAGTTCATAATTGCGAAATTAACAACAATGAATTAAATATAAATAGCATGGATAAGAAGAAAGGATTTAGAAAAACTAGTCGTTGCTGCTTGATTTCTTCCTCTAATTGTGTCAATCTCCCCTCTTCAGTTGATTTTTTCTCGGTTTTGTCTTCAATCTCCTAACCTTCTTCTAGCCGTCCACCCCCCTTTAGGTTTTGAAAAAATGCGTATTTATGTTTCCCAAGGTTGCAAGGCGAATTGGATGTGGCCTGGGTCGAAAAATTCCGTCTTTTCCTTTACCCGAAAGGCGGCGCTTTGGCGCCCAAGGCGCTATTCTATTGTATTCTTAATGGCTGGCGTCATTCTGAATTTTTTTTTTTTTGTTTTCTTTGTATTTGTGCCCAAATGTGGCGCCTTGGCGCCCAACATCCTGCCTCGTCCTTTGTTGTTCTTCTTCTCTATTTATTTTGCTACTCTTTTAGTCTTTTCTTCACTTCATTACTCTCTTCCCTCATCTCCATGTCATATCTCCTTCCATGATCATCATCATAGCTCCATTTCAAGTTCCAAACCACTCTGTTTTCATCCAATTTGTCCAACAACAAAATAACACGAATACACACATCAAAACGCTCAAAAGAACTCGAGAACAAACTAAAAACTACAGTTTGAAGGAACTTGTTTAATGAGTTAATTTCACTCATCACTGTGCCTTGGGTTAACCTCTATTCCTCTTTGGTTTTGTGATCTTATCATTTACATTGTTGGGCTGCATGAGAGTTTGTTTAACGACATCTAAGTACACTGCCATCATGCAAATTCTTTTGCTTATATTAAGCCTAAAAAAGCTTCATTGCCTTCCAATTATTGCTTAATCGTGGTTGTCTCATTTTTTTCGTTTTTTGTTATGATTGAACTTGAAAGTAATTCCTATAGAATCTTTTTGCATATCTGCAGTGTAACTATCTGGGTACATGTTTGACTTAGGGGGAAGAACAGTTATCTGGTTTGATCAGGAAGAGAATTTGCAGTGCTGTGGATTACTACTCTTGAGGAATTTGACTAGTAGACTTTCTTAAAATTACTTCACATTGAGGATGGAATGCAATAAAGATGAGGCCACCCGAGCCAAAGGGATTGCAGAGGAGAAGATGGAGAACAATGACTTTGAAGGGGCAAGAAAGATTGCTTTGAAAGCACGAAATCTTTACCCTGAACTTGATAATATAGCGCAGATGCTGGCCATCTGTGATGTTCATTGTGCAGCTAAAAATAGGATTTTGGGATCTGAAAAGGACTGGTATGAAATCCTTGGGGTTGGAAAGTTGGCTGATGAATTGACCATCAAGAAACAATACCGACGACTTGCACTTGTTCTTCATCCTGATAAGAACAGATTTCCTGGTGCAGAAGCTGCTTTTAAGCTGATTGGGGAAGCAAATTTAGTGCTTACGGATCCAGTGAAGAGGTCTTCATTCGAAAGTAAGATTAGAGTTTCAGTTAGATCAGCTCCATCAAATCAACCCCCTCCTGACGTAATCATAAATCCTTCTTTAAAGAAACAATATGGATTTCAAAACAAATTTCCAAAATGTTATGCTGATAAATTCAGTGGTCTGAATCATCATCAAGCAACGGGGTTCAATTCAACTGTTGGACAGGGAATGATCTGGACTAGTTGCCCTTTTTGCACTATTAAATTCCCGTGCCAGAAAGAAAATGTGAACAGATCTTTGCAGTGCCCTTACTGCATAAAACCCTTTATTGCTTATGATATAGGTGTGCAAGGCATTTCCTTAGGATCTAAATGCAGTCAGCCTGGTCCTCAACATGTATTTTCAAAATTTGAGATCCCTAATCAGGGTGCCCCTAAGATGGGTGTGCAAAATAGCACCAGATTCCCAGCTCCTGGTGCAGGATCTCAGGGGAATGCTAGTAGTAAAAACCTTGGATCAGAATCAGGAATCCGGACCAACAGCAATGCCAAAGTCAGTGGGGATGTGAAAATGAAAGAAAACGTGACCTGGAATGCCTATTCCATGAGAGGTGGAATGCCCAATGGTAATGTGATGACTAGAGAATCAGATCTGAAAAACAAAAACAGAAAGAGGGGAAGGAAAAGCGTAGTGGAATCTAGTGAGAGTTGTGATACATCAAGTAGTGTCGACACAGAAGATGTGGTTGTTGAGGAAAATTTTGGAGATCCTGCTAAAATGGGTGGTTCTGGACTTAATGGTAATCACTTTGTACGAAGATCAACTCGGCAAAGACAACATATCTCATACAATGAAATTGATGATGACAACAATGACATTGCCATCCTTCCAAAGAGATCGCAGAGTGTTAAAGAAGAGCAAGAGGATTCTCTAGATACTGAAGATTTGAAGAGTGGCAATGCAAATGGTTTTTGTACTGATGCAGATAATGCAAGAACTGAAGTACTAGATGATTCTCAATCAGATTCAGATGCTCAATTTATTGAGTGTCCTGATGCAGAATTTAATGATTTTGACAAGGCTAAAGAGGAAAGCTGTTTTTCTGTTGATCAAATGTGGGCTTGTTTTGATACATTAGATGGCATGCCAAGGTTCTATGCGCTGGTCAAAAAAGTAGTTAGTCCTGGATTTAAATTGCAAGTTACCTGGTTAGAAGCTGATCCGGAAGATGAAGCTGAGAAGAATTGGGCTAGAAAGGAGTTACCTGTTGGTTGTGGCAGATTCAAGCGTGAGAAGAGTCAATACACTTCAGATCGTCTTACATTCTCTCATCAAGTGCTTTATGAGAAGGGTAAGAAGAAAGGTTCTTTAGTCATATATCCTAGGAAAGGGGAGATTTGGGCTCTTTTCAAGGACTGGGATATAAGATGGAGTTGCAACAGAAAGAATTTTAAACATTTCAAATATGAAATTGTGGAGGTTCTTACTGATTTTGTTGCAGTTGCTGGTGTAAAGGTTGCTTACTTAGATAAAGTTAGTGAATTTGTTAGCCTATTTCAGCGAACGGACAGAAGTGATAATGATTCATTTTTTATAAGGCCCCATGAACTGTTTAGGTTCTCTCATCAAATTCCTTTTTTTAGAATGACTGGTTCTGAAAGAAATGGAGTTCCAGTAGATTCTTTTGAACTTGATCCCAGTTCCCTACCTCTCAATCCTGATGATTTGTGGTATCCTGGTAAGGGCAAGGCAGGCATTCAACGGAAACATGGATGGTGAAGTTAATTGTTCACCGCTGAAGTCAACCAAAAGGAATTTGGCACCCGAGTTTGAGTACGTCAAAAAACATTGTGGACTTAGATGATTGTTGAGAAGATGTCTAAACAGTGAACACGAAATAACTTCCATTTTATAGTAAATTTATTAAATATAAAAAGACAGCAAATCAAGTCCATGATAAAGCAAGTGCTGAGTGCTACTCTACCCAGTCAGAAGATGTATTTTGTGAAGTGAGGCATAAACTTTGGGAAAAGCATACTGATCTCTGCTGAGAGTTTCTGTGACTTTTAGTCGACTCTTTCCTTTGGTTCTTCCAGTAAAGAATGATTTTGTGCAGGGTTTTGCCTTCCAGTTCACAGTTGAGGAAAAGTTCTTTTTGCAAGCTAGGAGCTTTTATTCAGCCATAGTTTCAGGGAGAATATATGGATGAAGTTGAGGAACTTGAATCCTTGTGACATAGAACTGTTGCTAGATATAATTTATATTTCGCCGTGTGTACTTTAACATTATGCTTTGACTGTTGTCTACTTTTGCAATTGCAACTGTTTTATTCTAGTTAGAGTTTGAACTCAGAGTTTTAGCCTTCTAGCAAATCTCTGGTTAGTTCTGTTTCTTAGATGGTGTAAAGATCTACTGGACATGTACAATTCATGGAATTGAACCTCGAAATATTTTGTTTTTTTGGCAATTTTGGGGTTTGGTATGCAACTTGAAATGACCTCTTTTTTCTTCTGCTAGGATATCCTTGAAGGCATATAGTGCAGGAAGATAGTGTTTGGAACATGCAAAAGGCTATAATTTATTGGCTAATGGGTCAGTAAATGTGAGTTTTCTCCTTTGAAGCATTTTTGCTTATATGTACAGTATATGACATGCATAAAATGGCAAATAATACAGGCTGAAAGCTAAAAGACCGTTGCTAGTTGCTACCAATAAAATCTTTAAGACCAGCTATACAAAAATATGGGTTTATCACAAGCATTAGGTCTAGTCAAACGAATATGGCTTAGTTTTCTTTTATCAAATGGAGGCTGGAGCTGACTTGCGCATTCAGTAGTAAAGGCGTCTCTAGATATTCTCGTGGTTTGTGTCAATTGAGATTTGTACTAAAGGCATTTCTAGATATTTTCGTAGTTCGTGTCATCTAATATTGGCTTTCATATACAAAGGTAGAAAGGGTTGAGATTATCAAGTCCTTACTCGTAGAAGTACAAATATTTATGCATTACAAAGTTTTTGAAATTATTGGTCTTCAATAACTAGAATTTAAAATTGTTGTGTGGTCATATATTTTCAACTTTATGAAGTTAGATTTTATTTCTCAACTTGAACTAATATCAAAAAGTGAGATGATTTCCATGATTAGATACGGCATGTGCAGCTATAACAAAATATTAGAGTAATTCCATTTAGCATCATTGATGTTACAATGACGATCAATGTGACATTAAATGATAGACACAATTAAAAGACTCACATAATTTTACTTTTAATTGAACATATTACATTGTGACACTTGTATTTGTACTCTAATACCATTGATGCTAGATAACACTATTTAAACATAACATGTCAACTTGCTCTCTTTTAAAAGTCGGGAACTAGTTTTGAATATCAACAACAAAATTTTCCTTCATAGATTCCGTGATCTCAGTCTTTCAAAGTCTCAAACCCAATATTCTTTTGAAGTCAACAAGCCATTAATGTTACAATAAAACCAACCTGAATAAGGGAAATGGGCAACCCGATAGACACAGTACTGTACACACTTCATCTCCTAAGCCGGCAAAGCCGTGATTTCAATATTGAAGGAACTCCTCGACGGAACCGGTGACTCAAAGGCAGCAGGTAAGTCACAAAAGATAGCATGCACTAGAATAATTTTCAGTTTGACCTTTGCTTGTTGAAATATGAACAATGTTTTGTGATTGTTGACACACAAAAAGTGCAGCTCAAATTAAAATGGCCCAAAGAACGAAGCCTAATTGAGAATCCAAGATGAAAGCCCGAACAAAGGGTAAGCAGCCCACAAACAAAGGAACGTTGTCGCCCAAGCTTGCAGAACGCCCATATGTTGAGCGAGTAAAATGTCTTATGGACGCCTAGAGTGAAGGAGTCATCACCCAAATTGCTGGATCGCCCAGAATCCTAACGATGACTAAACTTTGCGGTTATCTAAAAGTCACGGTTTGAGGCAGTTTGAGCAACCGCGCGAAATAATTTGGCACACCCAGTGGGACAATTGGTGTTCGAAGATGTTAAAGGAAAACATTATGCCTCATAAAAGTTCTGATAAAACACCAGCTAGTCACGGAGTAGTCCAGTTTGTGATCGAGCGCTACGAGGAGCAGCAA